ATATTCCTATAATCCTATTAATACATACCTTACATATTTTGTGTGTCTTAATTAAATAAAATTCTTCTTTAGCAATCAGCCGGGATATTTAATTATCTGAAAGGAAATGTTATGATGGCGATTCAACAAGAACCAACACCCGATATAAGCCCAGAAACGCTTGGAGCATTGAGTGCATTAATGCTTGCACAAGCACAAGAAATATTTGTACACAAAGCGATCCATGATTCTATGAAAGATGGTGTTGTTGCTAGATTAGCAGCACAAGCAGAAGAATTATATGCAGACGCTTTAAAATTATTTCAGAAAGAAATTTTTCGCGCATTTTGGGACAAAGAATGGGTGCCTTTGGTTAGTATATTAAAAAATATAGGTTATTTTTTTCTCCTACATTTATGTATATTATTTTTATAAATAAATGTTTACAGATAGCGGGTAAACAAGCTGGTTATCGCGCCATGGCCGAATATTATCAATCACTCGTATGCAAAAATAATAAATTGATTGGAGAAGAAATTGCTAGATTAGAGGTAATTGCAATATATCACAATTAAATTATCCATTTTATAAAATTATGTCTATAATGAGACATGTTAACATTTCCAGCATGCTGTAGAGTTGTTCAAAGCTGCCCAGCAGAGATCAAATAAGCCGAGCTTATTCCAAGATTATGCCAATAAAGCACAGAGAAATCTAACAGAAGTAAGAAAGGATAATGATTTTATATATCACGAAAGGATTCCAGATATCAAGAATGTAGAAGCTATAGGAAAAGCTAGTGTTGCTAAACTACTCCCGCTTCCTGAGATATTCAGTTCTGATTTTAAAGGTTAAACGCGATATTAATAATTTTAGAAAGACAGGAAACATATTTTTTCTTTTCCACAAGTATTGCACGTATATATTGCTTTTTTTATAGATTTGTTTGCGGAACTATTACCTGTTACTATACACAATGCATTGTCAGCCTACGAGAATCGTCGTAATGAGCTTGTTAATTACGAAGTTTCAAATCTTCGAGAAATGACTCAACTTTTAAACAGGTATAGATATGTATATATAAAGTAGCAGAATGTATCATGGAATATTATAGACCCGTAATTAAATCTTATTATATATAGTGTTTTGGCAAGTTTGAATCTACCAGCAGCTATAGAAGATACAAGTGGAACAGAAATACCTCAATCGCTATTGGAAAAAGCGCTTTATGTACGAAATGCAGGAGGCATACAAGCTTTGGATGCAGCTACGAAAGAACTGCCGGATTTATTGCAACGTAATAAAGAGCTTTTAGACGAGGTAAACACACATACATACATATATATATATA